ATAAAGCCACATCAATCCGAACCACTACAGGCCAACTTGGACTCAGCTTTGCCCGAACAAGCGCCTTCGCAGCTTATCTCGATCATGAGACCCCCTTCTGTGGATTCGGCAGAAAGATCTTTCAAGCTTATCAAGTCTCACCTGGCCAAGGCATACGTCCTCTAGGGGGTGAATACGTCCAGGAAACCAGTCCCCCCAAGAGTATGGCCAGTGCCTACCCCTCAATCGTCTCCCATTGAAGGATAATTCCTAGGTGTACAAACGCTGAAAGAACCGACTCAGAATACGCCGGGAGTGACCGAGACTGGTCCAGTGACGATGATTCTATGATTTCTTCCACGGAGATTGGAGAAGGACAAGAGATTGACTAGGTTTTATACTTCGACTTCTTTCCGATCATGTGCGAAGAGATCTTGTTCAGTCACCTGGTAGCTGAAGACGATTCTGGCTGCACTTTGGTCAATGTCACTCCACACTACCCTGAGTCGCTGTCAATGAGGTATTTCCTTGAAAAATTCGTGGAGGCATCAGATGAATTCTTCGAAGTGGATTTCAGCCTCTCCACCTCTAGTGTGCAAACAGCCTTTATAGACTCATGGCCAGTAGATATCTCTGATGAGAATGGAGCCGGAGAAGCGACCTTGTGCACCTTGGGTGCCTCGAGTAGGCTCAAAGAACGTCGCAACATGATGAACAAATATCAAGAGTCAGATATTGTCGAGTATGAGGACGGTGTTGACTGCGAGGCTTTCGATAATACCGACTTTCTGTGGGAAGAGACAGCCCGTATTGGTCTCATATTGGTGTCAAGGGTCTTTTGGAGTACTTGGAGGAGGATATTATCCAGCAAATCCACTACGACATGCAGAACCAAGACGACTATATCGCTTCTCAGCCGATACTACTTGGAGGCAATTCGGGACATCATACAACAACGAAGCTGAACATCCAGGCATGCAATGGTGAAGTTATTGGCGATCGACATGGAGATAACATCAAGGATGACCACCAAGCCCCCCACGAATTCAATCACAAGGCAAAATCTTCTTGATTGATGCAACCTACCTTATATGAAAAGAGCCTCAAGGTCATGTTACATCATGTGTACTGCAGTGGACTAGGGTCATTACGCCTTATGTCCCCTTGTCAAAGCCGTCGAGTAAGTTACCAGCTTACAGGTCTCTCACAAGAGGGTTCAGATACTGACTAGGTTACTCAGTTGTGACTTTTTCTTCATCTCTTAGTGAGCTCCATATCACATCGAACTTTGATGTGGGATTCAGGCCTCGCAACTGCATGTGCTGTGTGACAATACGACAGCCAAGACAGTCCTAAGGCTCTCAGTCATCACCTGTAACCCAGCGATAGTGTGGCGGCTGCGAGTCGGAATCTTGCGGCGCATTTTCATTCGTCCTTGAGATCGACCATTTTCAGTGTTTCGTTGATGTTTGTGGACTTTTGCCTCAGAATGCGAGCCTTGGTGCAGTTTAGATATTGCAAGAGTAATCTTGTGCATTTAATAAATCACGGCTTTGTACGCAGCTGAAAAAGTCCCTTTCTTTGATTGCCCCTTTGCTAGTTCTAAGCCCTGTAAGGTACTCTGAGAAGTCACATTCGCATTTCACGGTTGAGAGGAAGCGAGTCTGCAAAACAACTTCTAGCAAGAGAAAATATTAACGAACATTGTGAAATATTGCAAATCATTCCTTCCTTCCTTCATTTCCGAATCTTGCTCTTCAAAACTTTCTTTCCGTCTGCATAGCTATCCGCCACTGTCAATAATAAACTGGCTTTTACAACAGCAGGTCCGTTTCTCCTCTGCCCAAACAGGATATCGCTTGCGAAAACTCTGTCAGAGTCACCAGTTTGGAAACTCTTGAATAACTTCGCTGCGATAGCGGCATCTGTAGTCGTGCGGCTGGTCCCTCTTTGGGTATATCGATCGAAATGCATGACCAAGACTTGCCAGACTTGCCAAACTGTCCAGATGTACTGTACAAAAACGGGCATCCAGGTGACTTGACAAAGGAGCCCCACTGGGAAATAAGTCCCAAAGGCAATGACGACAGCTAGCTGGATAACCTCGCGGAATCGATTTCTCACAGGATGTCCGTAATGGCGAAAGAATTGGTTGACGATAGAGGGCGGGCCGGTGATTAACATGAATTTTCCTTCGATTGCCGGGCAATTGATCTCCCAGTCCCGTGTCTGTTCATCGTCGATTGCGTCCGGGAAGGGCGTTAGACCCTCACGTTCAAGAGCGAATAAGGTGCCGATAATTCGAAGGATGAGCGGCATAATGAAGATGATGCTCCACAGCGAGCGAGTGATTGTGGCTACGCAAATCATGATGCCGATGCCAACACACTCGGTTATAATAATCTCCACCAAGCAGAGCAAGTCAACACGCTTGATCTCTTCCGAAATGAAAGGGACCTTGGAGTTACCAAGGTCTTCATCTGTAGCTTTTGAGAGCACTAAGTGGCTAACGGCAACTCTTGCGCGCACTGGTTTCGCTTTTTCTTCAGTGACTTTGCCGCTCTCGGTGTCATTTGGTTGTCGGATTGAGGGCTCTTTGATGGCTGGGAGAGGCATGTTGAGTAGGGCCTGGACCCAAAGGCAGTTTCGGATTTGCGATTCCCTCTCAGATTCTCCTCCGCGGGCGTGCAAAGTATAGGTCCATTCAAGGTCGCGGTAAAAGTGTGTTCCAAGCATATGACCCTGTACAGCACCGCTAAAGAGTCCATTCTTATATGCAGTGTCGATGACCTCGAGAGCAATTGACCCAATAGGGCCTGCCATAGAGTACAAACATGCTAGTCGCGGCATGTCGTAAATGGAAAACGATGAGAAATTCCGCTGAGGCCAAAGAAACCTCTCGAAGATCGCGCTGGTGGCAGCTTGTCCCCCAACGTAACCTAGCAGCGAACTGAAAGCGCCAAAGACTGGAGCATCGGCTTGGTTCGACATCGTCAACGAGTTTGTTGGTGTGGCAGTAAGTGCGTAAGAGCTGATGCCAGGATGAAAGAGCCGCTCAATTGATTATTACTTCAAATGTGCGGGTGATTGACAATCAGTTATATTGTAGGGAGGCCCACATCTAACGAACTCTTGACCGTTGCTCCCACATGAATGCTGACTGCAGATGAGAAGGATTTTCTTCCCTGGATCGTGAAAACAGCAGGCAGCAACTTAAGGCTACATGGGTTCTTCATGCCAGGGCATGCTGGTACCCTACCAGAAACCTGCATGAATGCGTTGAGGGCTGGTTGTACGCTCTGGGAGGCTCGGCAGCTGATGGGCTCACACTGCATGACCAGGAGGAGGCGCTCTTATTCGGGACCAACGAGCAGCGAGGAAAGGTTCAGCTTGCCCTGGGTCCCTTCCACGCTATCGACGCATACCAAGTTGCTGCGTGGGCCCGATAACTGGGCGTAAGCTCACAGTTTGACCCCGGATGCGACAAATTTGTACTAGCGAGATGGCACGAAAGACAGGGGTGGGAACAAGAAAGATCCAACAGTCCGAGGCGAACTCAACAATGCACGAGATGAACATGCCTCGAGTCTATTTCTTAAATCCGCCCAGACTGAACTTTGTAGATTTGAGAATCTATATTCTGGCGTTTGGGAATATACATACGACTTTGTACCTAGATCTATTTGGCGTAGGTATCCAATAACAAGGTAATTAGCTCCACTTTCTCAATATCCAGCCCGACTATCACTGACTGTGAGCCTGCGGACATGATCCAGTAATAGTCAGACACTTTCTAGCCTGAGAAGAGACGATTAAATTATGAAGATTTGTCTGGAACGAATCTATCTTAGGACTTTACGGCTTGAACCAAGATTCTATGCCTACCCAGGGTGTTGGAGCATAAAGAAATGGACCATGGGCAAGGGAGCAACCGCCAAAGCCGAGTCGTCATACAAGCCGCTGCCTTCAGGTCGTGTGATTCGCAAGGTCGCCGAAAAAGGAATTCATTAATAGTATTGTCAACATCCGTCTGTGTGCTTCCGATCTTAAAGTACAACGAGCAATACCATCTCTCCAAAACCCCAAAGTAATGTCAACTCAGTGTCCTTGACCTTGCGGTCCTTGTCAGAGGATACCTGGGCCCTTTTCAACAATCTGACGTAGATACCGGGGTTTGTGGTTGAAACTTCCGTCTGTGAAGCTGACAGTAGGTGTAAGCTCCAGGTGTTACCGAGTGCTGAATTCACAACGGGAGAGATCCACCAAAATCCTGGGGCCAAACGAAAGGTCCGTCGAGTGACGATTTCCCCTTTCGGAAAGGTGAAGTCTAAGATGAGTCCTCTTTGGGTAATTTAGATGGCCAGGTGAAGCTTCGTAGTGGGTCCTCGGGACTGGTCCAGTGACTGATGCCTCGAGATACCTCGCCGCATCAACATGGGACGACCTACCGCCCTTCGGACGGCCCTTCGACTACCTAAACTTCCTTTCACTCCTCGCCGTATTGACCTCCCTTTTTCTTCCTCATCACCGCAAGACTTTCCGCGAATTTCTGCGACTTTGCGCAACATTCCGCAGATCCTTTGCCCTTCACAGAACTTTTCCCGCCGTGGCAAGGAAATCAACCTGGCTTGACCACATTCGTGACTAAACAACTCTTCTTTCATTCTGGATTGATGGCTCTTGCATTCACTTGGCTACCCTACCCACTTGCCGCATCCCATTCTATTGCGCCGGTCTCTTTTCTCTCCAGAGTCGAGCGGGAAGATATCATCAACTCATCAATGATCGTGAAGCCCATACTGGTCAGATATAGTCAGGTAAGCATCTTCTCACAACTTGGCATCTTCCACCAGCTTTATTGGCTGCGTATTCGTCAGATCCTAAGCAAATGAGAATCACTATTTCTTCTCCTGGCTGACCTTGATGGCTTTCAGTGATACAAGTCATTGAAGATGCCACTTAGTGATGTTGTTCAGCAAGTCCTTGCGTTGTTGTTCAGGAACCCTCACCCCACGCCAAAAATGTGCGAAGACTCAAGCTCCTATCAATGGGACTACGGCCAGCTTTTGGTCAACAGCAGTCATCTCTTCTCCAACGCGTCTCGATCCATTACTTCTACGCGTCAAGTAATTACAATAGGGCCTTTGCGTCGGCCTTCGATCTATGCCAGCTTCACGGTGGCAAATTTCTCGCAAATGGCAAAGGTCAGTGATGTCAACAGCGCCGTAGACACTCGCTTTGTTGCAGAGTGCAACGAAAACGTGCCCAGAACTCGGCATCTCGCGAATGCTAGCAATGTGTTCCCGGAATACACCTCTTTCAATCAGTTCCTAGACGCTGAAGGCAATTAGAGATTGTCTGAGCTCTCTGAGACTGGTCTCTCGGATACCTCAAGCGTTGAGGAATCGCGAGGGAGATCCCCAAGCCCAGGTTTGCTTTCCTTTTCTTCTACTGCGACAAGGCTTGATACTTATGGACTTCAAGCAGAATGGGCCTCTAAAAGTCCCTTGTGTCCTCTTGAAAAACTTCCCTCTCGACCCTCTCGTCCCCTTTTCGGCCATAGAAGCCGCAACAGGACCGCAGATGCCTTGCTCAAGCCTACAAGACTCTTCCAACTTTCTATTGGTTCTCAACCAGAATACAAGCTTGACGTCCCACAGCAGACCTCGGGAATTTCCTACGGAGATTACGACAACACCTCGGTCATCACAGTTGTCAGGAATGTCGATAACATCCACCACCCAATTCCATCTCATGTTCCCGGAGAGCTCTTTTGCAGCCATTCCGGGTCCTTCAGCGTCTCATCGGTCTGTGCTGAAGCGCGGGAAGAGCATCAGAGGCCTGAGCTCATCACGGAAGTAATTGGAGATATTGACGAGTTACTGTCTAGCCTTAAGCTTGGACACTTTCGGGAGGGACTTGCTTGGGACTACCGTGAAAGGGACTTTTTCATTGCATCTCAAGAGCCTCTGCCACTGCAAATCCCGGCGAAGAGCAAGCCAATCATTCACGGAAGCCAACCTATACACCCCAACGCTGAGGCAAAGCCATTGTTCACCATAAATGAGGAAGTCAACAACCGCGGAAATGGACCTTCCAATCAACCGACTTTGCCTATGGCCCTTCCTTTAACAAAGCACAACGGCTTTGTTGACCCATCTATGGTCCCCGCGCCTCTGAGCATCATCAAGCGATCCAAGGCTGATGCTAGCCGCAAATTCAAGCGTCCATCTCCACTGCGTGCTCGAGGTAACAAAAAGCCGACTGAGCCCAGAGACATCGAGTATACCAGAAGACAACAAACCAGATTGCGACCGGACTCGCCTCCATCTCTCGGTCCTCTCCTCGACGAGAGCGCATTTGGCACTCCTGTGGTTCCCTTCCTACCCATTGTCGAGCCTCGTCAGCTCTTCTTTCCTTCGCCAAATTCGATCGCTTACCTCGAGCACGAGCTTTCTGACGTGATCGATCTCGACACTGATGATGACGCTACGGTCATTGAGGCTCCCACTAGCGCTGCTGGCGTTTCTCAGTGGGACGAAGAAGATTCCATTGACTTCTTGCTCGGCCCCATCGCAAATGCGCCGCCTCCCGTACCACCACACAGAGTGCTTGCCCAGCCGCAAGACCCCTTGTTAAACCGAGGCGTTGTGCTTGGCTGGCTGGAAGATTCGGAGACTGTCAGCGGTGGCCAGGATGCTACCAGCCATAACGAGTTTGGTGCTCCTCGTCCCTGTCGTGTTCGAGACGTTAATGCCAGTAGCAATGACGAAGCCGATACCCCTTGTCCGCTTCGTGCTCAAGACGTCAACGCTCGCGTCAATGCCGGCATCGATGCTCTGATCTACCCGATTGTGCAGGCCGAGAACGACTTCGCGTATTATGAGGATGACTTCCTTCACGAAGTCATGACTGCTGTGAGTGAGACCCAAGCAACTGACCTAGATGAGCAGCTTCGGCTCCTAGGTCCAGTCTATCCAAGCAGAATCCTCCTGTGGCCTTTGCACCATCCCGCCACGGACACTGAACCCGAGAATGCCTCTCAAGAGAGCGTCGAGCGTAGTCAATCAACTCCCGTATCGACCGTCACTGAAGAGCTTCCCGAGAGCCCCAAGTGTTTTTTGTGAAATTCAGCTGGCTACCCATAGCTGTCCAAGCTTGCGAATGCGGTATCGAGAGGCTGACCAAGATGAGGAAGAGCATTATAAAGTGAACAACAACCATGTCAGTATTGTAAGATTCGAGTCTCTGAATTTCTGGACGCTTTCTTGACGTTACGAAACCTGAGAATGACTGAAAGCCAAGTATACTGGCCAGACTGACTGAGTAAATGTCCCGAGAAAAGCGATAATGAATATTGTGGACGGCCCGGAGAATCGATAATGGAGCTAAGACAGGGAGACAGAGAGTAAGATGTTTGCTGCAGTAAATGGGCAAGTGAGACTCGGATGGACTCGAGTAATTGGCTGGTCGGGTTTCCCTGACCGCATTCTGCAAAATTGCTGTGAGCTTGTGCTAGGTTGAGGGCCTGAAGTTTGGTTTTGCAAGGCGGCGTTTCGGCTTCCTGTTCTCCTTTCTGACTTTGTTGAGCTCTGGTGGATTTGGCATGAACCCGAATGACCTTAGTTACACAAGTGCAAGCCACCAACTCTATTGTGCTACTACACCGCTGGGTATTCTTTTAAGACTTGCTTTTCATTAACACCAAATAAATCCTGAATGTGCTGCTTTCCTCTTCAAGTGATCGTCTTGAGTCGAAGCCGATGTGTTCGTGTAAACTCAATCATCTCTCGCTGTCTCGTCATTGGCGGGGATATGGGAACTCCGGCTCTCATCATCCTCACCCTTGTCAAGAGGCTCCAACTCCTGTTCACTGGCCGCATCCCCTAATTCCACGTCCCCTGCGTTCCCATGATCTCGAGTCCCTCCCACAATGGTTCCTATTCTTGAGGTAGTAGAATTCACCCACCCAAGAAGTGAGTCTTCTTTAATGACTCTCCGTCTGTGGCCGCCAACTGTTGTTCGGCTCCTTCTTGCACTTTCCATAGGATTTGACGGGCGAGCCGGCGGTCGGTAATGCCACTGCCAAAACCTCCGGGAGAATAAAGGACGTAGAATGGGTGCGTTGACAGCAATCAGACCAACTTCGCATTCTCGGACTCCCCATCGGTTTACCGTAATTGTTGAAGGTTCTGATCCCAAAGTTACCGCAACTCGCATGATCGCGGCCGCGATGACGAATAAACCGGAGCATATCAGTACTGCTATGAATATCTTCTTGTAGAAAGGTACCCTGATTTCCTTCAGAACCGGCAGCGGCAGACAAAGAATGGCTGCATCGGTCACAACATCTTGTCTCTGGTCAGTTTGGAACACTGAGTTATTCAACTAGACTCTCTATTAGACTTACTGAGAAATGTCGAGACCAGTAGATTTTGGGCTTTGAAAACACACTTCTCACTAGGTAGGGGCCTCACTCCCCAATTATCTGAAAACCTGTACGATGCCATTAGCCCAAATTTCCAGTGGAACTTGAGAGTCCATCACTCACGGCATACAGCTAAAGCTTATCGTTCCAACCACAACCAGGTATGATAAAATCGTAAACCAGGCCAGGTGTTTCAGAACTCTCGCACTCTGCCACAAATCAAACGTCATTCGCTTACTTCAGAACTGTCAGTCTCTGTCTTTCGGAAGGACCAGGAGTGCGAAATACTAGAAGAATAACAGGGTCGCTTTCATAGACCACAAGTATGCGGTGTATGAATACCAAGCTACTTGTTGGAACTTGGAACCTTGTACAAGTCGTGCCACTTCTTCATCGGAAAGAGTGCTGATTTGGGGAGCGGTGAGATCCACGTTCGTGCCATATCGGTCTAGGTTTACACATATCAGTACCGCCAAATCCTCTTCATCTCTTGAATGCTCATTATCAGAAGTGATACTCACACACTAAGTCGACCATCACAAAACAGACCGTGTATAAGAACAAAGTCTATCCAGATGAAATATTAGCGCAACGTCACGTCATTGACTAATGCATGCTCATTTCCGGCTTACAACAAGCATTGTGTAGTCGTCTCCCTTGAGACCTCTGGGGCCAACCATGCGAATTCTCACGAAAAACCGCAACAATATGACGAGAGCTCCAACACCGAACCAAGTCCACATCTCCTTCAGGAATTTGTCATCGCGTCTCAGGATACTGTCCAGTTGACCGATCGCCATGCTTAAGGGCGCGCGTCCGTCCGCCGACGCATACGTCGAACAGTGATCATCTATCGAGGCGAGGCTTTTGTTGGGCGGTCGCCCATGGGAGATGCGTGAATGTCGTCGGCAGGCTTTGGGTACATGAAGTTGGCGGGTTTTTCAAGCTGTCGTCTCATTTAGCCACATGCAGGCGCGTTTTCCTACAGTAGGTTTGGGGGAGACATGAAGTTTAGGATTCTTAGATGAGACTTCGAAATGCCGAAATTGAAGTGTCGAGCGCGTCGGGGTCGAGAAAACGCTTGTCCGTAATGTCAACTAGACCCAAAGAGGTGCTGTTGGGGAACGCTCTGGTCGCGCAGACGTTGATCTGGCGCTGACTGATGACTCGTGGCGTTTCGTAGTCGCAACTCTAAAAGGCAGTGTTGCTACGGTCACATCAGACTAAGACAGAATAGCGGCTCTCGGACCTTTTGGCCAGCCGAAGAGAGACTGAAGTTAGTGATTCCCAATTATGAGCCCCTCTTGACAATAATCCATTTCGTATGGTAGTGGATTGAGTATACCGGTGTGGGCAATAGAGTCATAATAAGAATGAGAGTGTCCTTCTTGTTGAGACCTTCAAGCATCACAAGGTCAGGTGACCTTGATTAAAGATAAGGTTTCGGGGAGAATATAGGCGTTATTGCGCCAAATGCTTAATGATACAACATGTTCTATAATGTAGATCTTATTTCAAAACATGGCGTCATGGACAATTCATGAATATAGAATGTGGTTTCAAACGCGCAGGTATCGGTTGTGGTGAAGAATAAAATTTCTTTACTTCAAAGTACAATGTCTCCAGTTCAGGTCCCTTAGCGAGGTAATGCTGCTCAGTGTCCACAATTAGTGACTGGATACTTCACTGTAATAACTCGGATATGAGTTAAGAACCTGAGAGACGCTGGTATTGCAGTTTCACTTGCTCGAATTCAGAGATGTATGTCATTGCCTCGAGGTTATTCCATCATTATCATTAAAGCTGAGTTATCCTACTCATACATCTTCAATCAGCGGACTGCTATAGAGATGACCTTCTGACAAACATGGAAACACGCAGGTATATTCCAACCTCAGACTTGAATCCTTCAAGCAGAGCGCTTCACAACGAAAGCGCCACGCTCGATCGTGTTGATCAGAATGTGGCCACTCTTAAAGTAAGGGTAGTGAGACCAGGTGCCGACAAAGTCAATGGATCCGCCAAGGGGTTCGTTGTCGTTCTCGGGGTAGATGTCGAAGAATCCAACCTCTGAAACGCCGCCTCCGGTGGGGTCATCAGGGAGAGAGGAGACGTCGAGAATGCGGAGACCGGCACCGTAGTGGCTCTGGAAGGCAAGGCCGTCGATGACGAACTGGTTGTGGTCAATGCCGTAAGCCTCGCTGCGGTAGTAGCCAGTCTGCTTAGGAGCCTCAAGAGATCTAATATCCCAGAAGTAGGTGATGGGGTAACCGCTAGCAGCAGGACCGGTAGCATCAACCTCATCGTACTCGTCGTCGAGGACGAGGTACTCCTGCCACTCGGTGTTGGTGACCCAACCCTGGTGGGTGTCTATATGTACAATCAGTCTTAGTTCATGATTTCAATGAGGGACAAAGCAAGTCGACGTACAGCTGGCACCCTCGTAAGAGGTGCGAGAAATGATGTTGGTCTCATTCTTGTTGGTGACATCGTAGATGGTCAAAGTGTCCTCGTTGTAACCATAGCAGATATCACGGCCAAAGTACTTCTCGTCAGGGCCACGGTAGACGAGGCACTGAGCATCGTGGACGTAACCGTCACCAGCGGCACAACCCGGGGAGGTAGGATTGGCGGGGTCGCTGAGGTCAATGAAGATCAGACCGGAGCGGCAGGCGCTGGAACGAGGCTGGGCGCCGACAGCAACGGCGTACTGCTTCTCCTCGTTGATGACGATGTTGTGGGTGGAACCGGCGGGAAGGCCGTTCCAGTAACCGGTAAGGTCACGGGAGTTGCTGAAGGTGACCGGGCTGGCGGGGTCAATGTCCAACAGCTATCCCCAACGGTTAGTATTTTAGAGACTTGAGGCACGATGATGTTGATGAGCTTACCTTGGTCAGATCGAAGATCTGGACACCATGGCGGGAGGCCTCACTGCCGATGACGACGTAGTTCTTGTATCCGCGGAGCTCACGCCAGATAGACTGGGTAGAGTACTGCGGGAGGCGACCGAGGTAAACGAGCTTGCCCGCAGATGTGATCTCAGCAAAGGCGGCACCATCAGCCTGAGCAATAATGGCAAACTCGCGACCGTCGGGGCTGGTCCAACCCCAAGAAGAGGATCCCTCGCCGGCGGTAGAGCCAAGGTCGGAGTGGCTCTTGAAGTCGTAGAAGTCGACCTTGTTGCACCTGAAAGTGTTGTTGGCATCGCCAGGGATGACCTCGGCAACACCATTTACGCAAGAAACGGGGCCCTCCTCCGCGAGGCGGCTCGTGTACTTGGTCGACTCCATCTCTCCGGCCTCTCTTTGGCGATCCCATGACGCCTATGAGTTGCGAAGGTTAGATCAAGTGCTGTAAGCAAAGCCACCGGTGTCAAATACCTTCTTACGGGCCATGAGGTCCTTGTGAATGACACCGCTGTCGTAAATCTCAGAGACGAGTTCACTGGGTGCGATCTCCTTGGCCGAAGCTCCAGAGAGGAGCGCCGACACGGCCAAGGTTGCCAAGGTAATTGCCTTCATCTTGAGTGGTTCAGGAGGGGTCCTGGGAGTTGTCTTAGGCAGGGGTGATTGACGGTTGAACCACGATGATCACTTCACAACCTAAAGAGCGGAGAGGTGCAGAGCAAGATCTTCTGCTGATCGAACGGGCGACGACGCGATTCTTTTATCTTCCTCCCATCACAACTTGGCGTTCTCCTTCCCCTCAATTCTTTTGTCGGGCTTCGCGGTATCTCTCCACCGCTTTACGAGTCAAAAACATGATTATTGTTCTTTGTCCTGCTAGAAACAGAAGGTCAAGAAACAGCGGTTGGAAGGTGGGAGCAACGAGCTTCAATGTCGCGATGCGGAGCACTACTGCCCAAAGAAGCAGGTGTCTACCGGACCAGGCCCGCACGGTACTTGGACGCACGAATCAGCGGCTCCGAGGCCCCGGCCCGGCAGTCCACCATCCTTCGCCGCAAATTTACTTACATACCCGCCCGGACTTGGCAACAGGCACTGCCATACGGGCAAACATCCTTAAAGGAGGCGTTGTAAGCTTCTTGGCGCATCGTATCTGGCGCCTTCCGCAGTCTTGCCAAGCGCACCGTTGTAACACTCCCGCAGATTGTAGCGGCATCACCACCATGCAGCGCCAAGTCACGGCGTCATTCTGGTCTTTTTGTGTCTCTTCACCTTCTCGAAAAGATTAATTATGTACCATTTGATAGATGGCGTCAAGAGATTACGTTTGTGCGAGATATCGACCGTTGTCGAATCGTCTATCTAGCTCCCGCAAACGTCCCCAGATCAGCGAGCTCTTTACTATATCTGCTCATGGATCGTTTAATCCCGCACCAATCGCTTTCTAAATGATTCTACCTTGATGGCCCAAGTGTTTGTCGCCGGCTCTTTCCGAATTCAATCGCAGTGGCAGCTGCCCACGTGCAGTCAGTGCATGTAGTAACCTGGCTATGTACGGATACATCTCAACTTTCAATACTCAATTGGGAAACGTGAAGGAGCCTCGGTTATCATCATTTGCCCCTATGGGGAGTTTCGACCAATATTCTATCTGACATAAACTCATGTCATTACCTCACTGATAATTTTGCTCATCAGAACATGTCTTCACTTGAAAATTTCTAACTTGCGCTGAACATCTGTGAAAGGAATCAGATGGCTTCCAAATGGCTAGAAGTCTTTCATTCATCGGGAATTGAGTATTAGAACTGCAATCATTAGATTTCTTAGGCCGACTCCTTTTCTTTCCTATTCGAGCACTTGGTAATACGATCTGAGTCTTTACTCTCATAGCAACTCACTTGGCTTAGGTATTATACCATCGGCCCAAGGATTAGCCCCACTTCAGTAAAGTCCCCGCTAGATAAGGTGCAGCCATCCGGAGCTTATAGGGATGATCGAGTTCCAAAACAGAAAACTTGCTCAACTTTAAGACGACTTCAAATTGAATTTGCAACGACACATAGAAGCCAAGTCTTTATCGATTTCCGGGAGAGGAATGTTGTTTTCATGAAAGTCGATGCTTGTTCGCATTGAAAGCAAGTGTTCCCAGGGCTCTCCCTCTTCAGAAGTCAGAACATGAAGCTGCATCAGCGTTTGAGAAAGTTTATATTGCCTCATCAACTCAATTATGTCTACAACAGATAACAAGACTTGTATTTTTGATCGGGAAGTTTCATCAAGCTTGGATTTCTGGCGTTTGTTGCAGTGTCATGGACTCAGGAATAGTATTTTGTTTGCCGCGTCGCAAACATAGAGTAAGGTAGTCGATCGAGACCGTCTCTCACGAGCTTCATCTGAATGTCCCTGCATATTTTTCTCTCGACTCGTTGCTTGTCTGCATCATGTGTGTAGTAATTATTATCTCTTCAGTATTCATCGTGTGAAATGGCCACTGCCTCTAGGCTTTATACACTCTACTCATTACACAACCGCCCTCCGGAGTCCGAATTTCGTTACACACCTGTGGCTTTCCTATGCACCTCATCAAGTCGACAATGATGCGCTATGTCCTTCCTTGTTAAGGATGGGTATCTTTCGCAGTAATCCATGGAATCCCTTCTGCGCGTCTACTTTGTTAGGTGCTCCCAGTCTGGTGGTGGATGTTTTGCTAGCTGCAATCGGGGAGGACCGTCATCTTCAGGTATCGAGGATAGCCCCTCCGGAGGTATGGCCTTTTCCCACACAGCCTCCCAAGACTTTCTGGCCTCCATATCGTGATTTTGCCAGTTGGGTACCCTGTCCCCTGAACACCCTGGTGCTGAGCTCTCGCCACCCTGCGCCAGCCATCCTTC